GTCGATTCAAGGGAAGCCACTCTGGTGAAATGGATAGGTCGACACCGTTTTAAAGTTGTGTCAATCAAGCAACACGGTGGGGGTTGTCTGCCCGTTAGTTGCTGGTGGAGCAGTGATTTGTTGGTGGAGCAGTGATTTGTTGGTGGAGAAGTGATTTGTTGGTGGAGCAGTCATTTGTTGGTGGAGCAGTGATTTGTTGGTGGAGCAGTGATTTGTTGGTGGAGCAATGATTTGTTGGTGGAGCAGTGATTTGTTGGTGGAGCTGTCATTTGTTGATGAAACAGTCATTTGCTGGTGGATTCATTTGTTGGTGGAGCACTGATTTGTTGGTGGAGCAGTGATTTGTTGGTGGTGCTGTCATTTGCTGGTGGAGCAGTGATTTGTTGGTGGAGCAGTGATTTGTTGGTGGAGCAGTTATTTGTTGGTGGAGCACTGATTTGTTGGTGGAGCAGTCATTTGTTGGTGGAGCAGTCATTTGTTTTTGTTAGTTTTTTGTTTAAGAATAAAAAATAGGCTCATACATAACAAGCAATATTCAAACCTATTAAAAGTCTGTGCATAAAAGAGTATGCAATAAACGGCAAACGACTGCATTTCATAATTAACAGTTGATGAATCATGCAGATATAGTCTTACCCGTAAGTCTAGTTAGGTTAAAAACTAAATTTCAACTTGAAAAGCACTTGGCTAGTTATTGACTAATCAGCAACAAGCAATTTATGAAAAACAAAATAATTTTTATCCTGGGTGTGGGAAGTATTCGAACCCCGGACCAGACCACGCCAGCATCAGAGAACACTTGCACTGACTATAAAAGGACGTCTGTCTCGCGAGCACAGACCGAGGACGAAAGTGAGCCAGCTCGCCTTATGATTCACCAGGGGGCGCCAGGATAGTTTTTATATGTATTATGTGTATGTCACCCCGGGATCGGAAACGCCATATTGTTTCATTTCCTTTTGCGTCAGAAAGGAAAGAAAATATTCCGCCAGAATTGAGTATCAAACTAGTTTCTAAAAGTGCTGGAAGAGACGCGAGTCCCGTGGTCCAGATTCATCGCACATTTGGGAGCACAATCTGGCAACCAGGCTGCCTGGCTACCTATTTGTTATTGTAAGCAACGTTACGAATGTTGCCAGATTTTTTTTTTCGTAAAAAAAAAAACAACCTCACAATACTTTGTTTAAAATATTTTCACGCGTCGTGATCTAAAACACCGCGATTGTTAATTACCATGAATGTCACTGACATGTTAAACAATTACCCCACCCTGGATTCAGCCCACCCAAAACCTGCACCTAACTCTAACCCTTCGCCGCCGTACTAAGCCATAATCACATCACAAGCCCTCAGATCCACAGGGCGAGCAGGAAAACCAAGAGCTTAACCCAAGCGTTGAAAGCCCGACGAAGGAGCTAACGATGGTAAAACGGCTGCTCTATCAAAGGATGTGTTAACTCAATTAAAATGCTTGCGTGCTGTCTCGAATATCGCTGTTTCTTTTATGTCCCGAGCGCGCGTGCAAATGTGCTCACGTTCAGGCACTGGCTACAAAAATTTTATACGTGCTGGAAGCGGATTTCCAGGGATGCGCAGAAGGGTCTTTGCGCATCGTACAGGAAGTCAAGGCAGGTCAACTGGGATACGAATCCGCCGGACGTAGGGCTTGGTTAAAGTTTAAGCTAGGGCATAAGGCGACTGCAAGATTTAGTGGACAAGGCATAATGCACCTGCAAGATTTTGTGGACAGGGCATAGGGCGCCTGAAAGATTTAGTGGACAGGGCATAAGGCGCCAGAGCTTAAGGCTCCTACAACATTTTGTTGGCAGAACATAAGGCACTTGGACGATTTTCTTGGTAGGGTATCTTCTTCTTCTTCTTCGTTCTTAATTATTAATGTTGAAGGGGATCGAGATTTATCTGCCAGTGGGTTTGAACTCGAGACTTTCTTCGAATTTATCAAACATGAGCTTTCTGTCGACTCGACCACGCCTCCAACACAATTAAGCGTTACGTGTCAACGGTTATGCGCCATTGAGGCCATTGACTACGATTTCAGCCTGCTTTTCTTTTTGGATTTGCTTCCATAGCCTTTGTCCAACCAAGAACAAACTACAAGGCAGCAGTTGTTTAATTTTGGAGTTGACTCTCCAAGAAGAGTGGCTGTCCCCAGCTAACGAGCCTCATCTGCCCGAGGATTCGAACTCGAGACTTTTCGGTTTAGCAGGGTATAAGGGTATAAGGCGCAAGATTTTGTGGACAGTGCATAAGGAGCAGACTAGAATCTGCAAGATATTGTGAGCAGGGAATAATGCACCAGCAAGATTTTCTGGAAAAGGCATAAGGCGCCTGCAGGATTTAGTGGACATTTATTCATCCAGGACGTCTGCTGGTCAAGACAAAAGTAAGACGCTTGACACCGGAAGTTTGCACAACTCGAAGTTTGTCGAGTTAACAAATGATAGCTAAGTCGTAAGGCGAGATTGGAAGAAAATCAGAAACCTCGTAACGAGGCGACAATTGCACACGCTATTGCAAAGCAGCAATGCACAATTGTACATGCCTAAAGCAGGCAAGGTAGAGTTGCACGTGGTATAGCCAGGCAAGGTAAAGTTGCACGTGGTATAACCAGGCAAGGTAAAGTTGCACGTGTTTGAACCAGGCAAGGTAAAGTTGCGCGTGTTTGAACCAGGCAATGTAAAGTTTCACGTGTTTGAACCAGGCAAGGTAAAGTTTCACGTGGTATAGCCAGGCAAGGTAAAGTTTCACGCGGTATAGCCAGGCAATATAAAGTTTCACGTGGTATAGCCAGGCAATGTAAAGTTGCACGTATTTGAACCAGGAAAGGTAAAGTTTCACGTGGTATAACCAGGCAAGGTAAAGTTTCACGTGTTTGAATCAGGAAAGGTAAAGTTGCACGTGGTATAGCCAGGCAAGGTAAAGTTTCACGTGGTATAGCCAGGCAAGGTAAAGTTGCACGTGGTATAGCCAGGCAAGGTAAAGTTTCACGTGGTATAGCCAAGCAAGGTAAAGTTGCACGTGGTATAGCCAGGCAAGGTAAAGTTTCACGTGGTATAGCCAGGCAAGGTAAAGTTGCACGTGGTATAGCCAGGCAAGGTAAAGTTTCACGTGGTATAACCAGTGTTAAGTTGCACGTGGTTACATACGGCAGTCGCACGTGGTCCAGTGTGAGTTAAACAATATTTACACACCTGTAACAGCGAGCATGTCAAGTTGATTACCCCCCCCCCTCCCCCCACCCGCTCAGCCTAACGGTGTCAGTGTGTCCTGTTGATGCTATCTACGGTCCTGTTGATGCTATCTACGGTCCTGTTGGTTATCTACGGTCCTGTTGGCTATCTACGGTCCTGTTGGCTATCTACGGTCCTGTTGGCTATCTACGGTCCTGTTGATGCTATCTACGGTCCTGTTGATGCTATCTACGGTCATGTTGGTTATCTACGGTCCTGTTGGTTATCTACGGTCCTGTTGGTTATCTACGGTCCTGTTGGTTATCTTCTGTCCTGTTGGTTATCTACGGTCCTGTTGATGCTGGCTCTCTACGGTCCTGTTGATGCTATCTACGGTCCTGTTGGTTATGTAGTGTCCTATTGATGCTGGCTATCTACGGTCCTGCTGGCTATCTACGGTCCTGTTGGTTATCTACGGTCCTGTTGATGCTGGCTATCTACGGTCCTGCCGATCCACACATATTAAGAAACAGGTGCACGACGCAAAAAACCGCCGCATGCAATACGGACCAGAGTTGCGGGTGCTCCGCCTATGCACGTGCACAAGGAAGAGCATCGTGAGCACACACTTCAGGAATAAATTGGTTTCCGACGTGAGCAAGATAGTGTGGGAAACAGGAGCGCATGAGGGAGGGGGAGTAAGGGAGGGGGAGTCAGGGAGGGGAGGAGGGGTGGGGCAGGAGGACCGACAGACAGAAATAAATTTGTAGATACCACGTGACAGACGTTAGTTTTACCTGGTCAGCAGAACAATGGGAGATAAGACGGGCACGAGAAAGGTGAGACAAGGGTGAGACTAAAGAAATGGTGAGACAAGGGTGAGACGAAACAAAGGTGAGACAAGGTGAGACTTAAGAAAGGGTGAGATTAAAGAAATGGTGAGACAAGGGTGAGATTAAAGAAATGGTGAGACAAGGGTGAGACGAAACAAAGGTGAGACAAGGGTGAGACTAAATAAAGGTGAGACAAGGGTGAGACCAACAAGGTGAGACAAGGATGAGACTAAAGAAAGGTGAGACAAGGGTGAGACTAAAGAAAGGTGAGACAAGGGTGAGACTAAAGAAAGGTGAGACAAGGGTGAGACCAAACAAAGGTGAGACCAACAAGGTGAGACAAGGGTGAGACTAAAGAAAGGTGAGACATGTGAGACCAAATAAAGGTGAGACAAGGGTGAGACTAAAGAAAGGTGAGACAAGGGTGAGACCAACACGGTGAGACAAGGTGAGACTAAACAAAGGTTACAGCAAACAATGGTGAATGAAAAGAGAGAGACAAGACAATGGTGAGACAAGTTTAGACTGAGATGAAACAGTAGTGAGACAATAGAATGGTTTTATAAAGAAATGGTGAGACAAGAAAATGGTGCGACAACATACTGGTGAGACCATGCAGTTGTTTGACAATGTAATAATTAGACTAGGTTGATGTAAGAGTGAGACAATACATAGGTGATACGAGACAAGTGATGGATAGTGGTGACACCAAGACAAGAGAGGGAAATGGTGACATCAAACTTGCACCAGGATGAGATAAGATAAATGGTGATTCAAGAGTAAGACAATACAATACAGAAAAAAACCAAGGGTTAGCTTGTACTACACAGACAAAATTATACACAAAAAAAGCAGTCAACAGACAAACAGACAGACAAACAGACAGACAAACAGACAGACAAACAGACAGACAAACAGACAGACAAACAGACAGACAAACAAACAGACAGACAAACAGACAGACAAACAGACTCACTGGCTGCCTTGGGGGAGAAGAGGTCCTTGTGGGATGAGCAGACTGCAAGAAGTCGGTAGCCCAAGTCAAAGTCATACCCGGGCTGCGAGGCTACCTTGTACACAACCTGGGGAGGAGAAAGGTAGCACATGGTTACATCAAGGTAGCACATGGTTACATCAAGGTAGCACATGGTTACATCAAGGTAGCACATGGTTACATCAAGGTAGCACATGGTTACATCAAGGTAGCACATGGTTACATCAAGGTAGCACATGGTTACATCAAGGTAGCACATGGTTACATCAAGGTAGCACATGGTTACATCAAGGTAGCACATGGTTACATCAAGGTAGCACGGAGTTACATAAGGGTAGCACATGGTTACATCAAGGTAGCACGGAGTTACATAAAGGTAGCACATGGTTACATCAAGGTAGCACATGGTTACATCAAGGTAGCACGGAGTTACATAAAGGTAGCACATGGTTACATCAAGGTAGCACGGAGTTACATAAAGGTAGCACATGGTTACATCAAGGTAGCACATAGTTACACAAGGTAGCACGGAGTTACATCAAGGTAGCACAGGGTTACATAAGGTAGCACATAGTTACATCAAGGTAGCACGGAGTTACATAAGGTAGCACGGAGTTACATAAGGTAGCACATAGTTACATAAGGTAGCACAATGCCCTACTTTATGTAAACCTGTGCTACCTTATGTAAGCACAATGTTACATAAGGTAGCACATGGTTACATGTTACACAACGTGACACAACGTGAAACAAAGGTAGCACGGAGTTACATAAGGTAGCACGGAGTTACTTAAAGGTAGCACATAGCTACATGATGTTACACAACGTGACACATTTTTACCCAACGTAACTCAACCTTATATAACGTTATTTAATTATATTCTTCGTACAACATTGCTTGATGTGAGGGTGAGGGGGGGGGGGGGGGAGCGGGCGCACTAATTAGGGAGATATCATGAGTGACCAAAGCTTTTATTAAAGAAAGCAAGTTTGTTTTATTTTTCTTATTTTCAGCACATGAAATAATTTTTCAAGTTTTTCCTATTACTATTTAATTGTTGACATAACTTTGACAATACAGCACAAAACATTGTATACAAATTGCCAAGCACTAAGTCATTGCGCAACATCCAGATGACAGGGGGTATTGGCCGCTCCAACTTCTAGGTACCTAATGTTGCTACACCTAGTCCAGAAACACGACCAACATCCAGATGACAGGGGGGGTATTGGCCGCTCCAACTTCTAGGTACCTAATGTTGCTACACCTAGTCCAGAAACACTACCAACAGCCAGATGAAAGGGGGGGTATTGGCCGCTCCAATTTCTAGGTACCAATGTCGCTACATCTAGTCCAGAAACACTACCAACAAAAAGATCTCCTCCAAGTTAATTTAATCGCTAATTTTATTTTTACAAGGTAAAAAAACTTCGGCCTCTAAAAAAAAAATAAACCCTCCATTTTGGCAAACATGAAGACGCCGTGTTGTCGCCATCATTGGATGCCGTACCGTGTACATCACCCCCCCCCCATCTCTACCTGGCCACTGCCTCATTACAAGAGGGCCGGTATTTTTGTGTCTAGAGAGGGAGCAAGAAGAGGAGGGAGGGGGGAGGGAGATATTATGTGAGATTGAGGGGGAACTTCGTGAGGTTTCGGAGTTTGTGGGGAGGGGGTGGGTTATATTGTAGGCATTTAGGTACATCGCAAGTTTAAATTAAAAATATGTAAGATCCTGGAAATTTTGTGTTGAGTGTGTGTGTGTGGGGGGGGGGGGCGGTCGATAACCAAGAAGGGGACTAAGAGAATAGAGGGATAGAAAAGAAAATCGCCACACAAGAACAATTATTAAATAGCCAGTTCACCGTTCATTAATTTCGTGAAACTTCAAATAAGATTTAATACCGAAAAAAAATCAATTTTAACAAAACAGTTGAATATTTACGTCAAAATAAAATGACGTATAAAGTGACCATACATGACATTTTTTTTTATATTGCAAGCTGATTGTTTTATAGTTTCCAAGAGTATCCGATTTAAACCAGAGGCGTAGCGACCCTTCTCGGCGCCCGGGGACAAACTTTTAATTTGGCGCCCCCCCCCCCCCCTCCATATATATTTTTTAAATTTATAATTTGCAGCTAAAATGAGCTTTTATTTTTTTATAACTCATTTTGGCGCCCGCTGGGGTCGGCGCCCGGGGACATATGTACCCCCCGCCCCTCCCCCCTCGCTACGCCTCTGATTCAAACATTTGCCAGACTTTAAAACGTGGTTAGATGATCAGTGGAGACATCAGCTCACCACTGTGTGCTGGCAGGATTTGAACCCGCGTAATGTGCCGTGTAGGACCGATCGTGTACGGCCGCCGGCAAGGTGGATGGTGCGTGTGTGGAAAATGGAGATGGGTACTGTAACCAACCAGTCGATCACGCTACACTGATCACGCCACGTGACGACAACACGGCTACGTGACGTCTGACGCGTCAGCGTTAAAGTTACTCCGGTGGGATTCGTGATCGCGTGACTGTGTTACACAAATTCTACCAGTAACAAAGTCATCACAACAGTCGGTAACAAAGTTATCTCAAAAGTCAATAACAAAGTCATCTCAACGATCAATAACAAAGTCATCTCAACAATCAATAACAAAGTCATCTCAACAGTAAATAACAAAGTCATCTCAACAGTCAATAACAAAGTCATCTCAACATAAAAAAATCAAAGTCATCTAAGCAAGCGAATAAAGTCATCTAATCTACCACACCGTATAAATCAGAGGCTTCTTATCTCACTATGGTTGTGAGGCATCTATCTCGTCACGATTGTAGGAAAAAAAGTCAGAGAAAAAACAGAAAAAAAAGTCACAGGAAAAAAGTCACATTTATGTTTGTGCATGGAATTTGTTAATATGTGTATGTGTAAAATATTCAGTGAGCGCAAATCAACTTAGATCAATTAACTGTAATGTAGTGAGCGTAGGTTGTATATGTATAGTAAAATTTATACCAATGAATGCTGATGTATCTCATCACACACCAAAGAGTACTGAGCTATCTCACCACACACAAGATATAGCTCTCATGTATCTCGATACGCGCATGAAATCGCATACAGTTCTATACCCAGGCTATTCCCTTACCCCCCCCCCCCCCCCATCTCACTTGCGGTATCAGGGGAAGGGTATGAGACGGTGCAACAAGACCGCAAGGCAAGACAGGATCACCAGAGCTTGGCGTTGTCCGAAAGGTCAAGTTCATTGCGTAAGGCGGCAGGTCAGAAGTTATGCAAGACCTTCCCCCTTCTCCCCCCCCCCCCACACCTCCCCAGCGGTCGTCTTGACCGTAGCACGGTGAGAGTCTGGTCAAAAGATGCGTGTAGTCCAGCGGCGCGTCACGTGACCCAAGCCGTGTTGTACCTGGTGGTACGTGAGCAAACTCACATGGTCTAATGTGTACAAGGTCACAAAGTCTAACGTGTATAAGGTCATAGGTTCATGTGTACAAGGTCACATGGGTACAAGGTCACAGGTTAAATGTGTACAAGGGCACAGGTTGAATGTGTACACGTTCACAGGCTGTGTACAAGGTCACAGGTTAAATACGTACATGGGCAATGGTTACATGTGTACAAGGTCATATGTTGACGTGTACAAGGTCCCAGGTTAAATGTGTACACGGTCACATGTTCGATATGTACAAGGTCACAGGTTAAATGTGTACAAACTCAAGTCTATAGTCACGTGTATGTGCCCACATATCCGATTTTTTTGACACATATCATTTCACATAAGCTTCAAATAATTCCAAACTTCTGCGGAACTCTCTTGTTTGCTTGTTAAAGCTTTCTTCAAATATTTCTTTAAAACCCACAATACAACTGTTTTTAAACCGCAATAATTGAAGCCTAAGTCCACACATAGCATAAGCAGCACATTGCTCAGACAGGAGAGCATCAGATGCTACATTTGTCCTGTACTTCCTTACACCTACACATCTGTTCAAGGGACGGAACTCTCAAACTTTGAGTGATACACAAAATAGAAGGATCGGAAATCTGAAAACAGATGCGCTTTTTTAACGCCACATGATTTGCTTGGATGTGTGTTGGCATTTTATTTTTCGCCACGTCATTAACGACGTTGTGTCTTATTAATTAATTTTAAATGAAAACAAAATTGCCTTAATGTCGTATGGCGTTTCCAAATAATTTTAAACGGAAACAAAGTTTACGAAATGTGGTATGGCGTTTCCAAATAATTTTAAATGGAACAAAGTTTACAGATTGTGGTATGGATATTCCCCCCAATTGCGTCATAAACAGGAATAGTTTCACCAGCAGCCGATGTCAAGCTTCCCAGGCCAATACAGGCCCATCTTATCAATACTGTGTAGAGGGATGTGGTCAAAGGAGGGGTCATAGGGGCTGGGGTGGGGACGGCGGAGGGAGAGGGGGACGGCGGAGCTAGGAGGGGGTGGCGAAGTTGAGAAGGTGGTGTGGGGGAGGCGATAGGACAACAAAGGAGGTTGGCCATTGCGCCACAGCTTTGAGAAGATGGCCTGACTTCTACACACGCCGGCCAGATTGGGGGAACAGGGCCAGATAACAACCGTGATAAATGGGGGATCTGACCCCCCCCCCCCCCCCCCCCCACAGCACAGGGGTGATGTTGCTACCCTCCAAGACTAACTGTTGTGTCCATACAACATAGTTCAAACAAAGCTATCACAGTAAAGCAAGCAAAACGGTGAGAAAAGTAGCGATCTTGGCGCTTTACACAAGTCCACACTAGATGTAAGAAAACTAGAGAGTTGGTGCTATACACAAGTCCACACTAGATGTAAGAAAACTTACTTGGCGCTTTACACAAGTCCACACTAGATGTAAGAAAACTAGAGATTTGGTGCTTTACACAAGTCCACACTAGATGTTAGAAAACTTACTTGGCGCTTTACACAAGTCCACACTAGATGTTAGAAAACTTACTTGGCGCTTTACAGAAGTCCACACTAGATGTTAGAAAACTAGAGAGTTGGGCGCCTTCCTTAGTCTGCTCACTAGTGATCTAGAATGTTCCCCTATACCCC